TGTAGGCGAAAGTACTTTAATACCATAATTTGTATATATCTTAAAATCTTTATATCATGTATAAGAGTGAAGTAGACTTCTTAAGGATTGTTATGTACTTATGTCTCCTTAAGAGATTTTTTGAAATACAAATAATGTGTGCGTATGCGTGGAAGCTTGCAGAGATTGCGTATTATTAGTGTTTCAATGTAAATTTAAACCATGTAAATATGAAATCTTAAAAGTGAAATTTGGACTTTGATAGATAGTTCAAACAATTTCGGTGATTAAGGAATATTTACCGTACCTTTAGGTACACAAGGGAAACTTAACCGCTCTCAAAGAGAATGAGCCAGAAATAAAAGTGGAACAACCGCAGAAGCAACAATCGAAGCCCATGTCTATTACTATGCCTAAGGGTTATGTAAAAGGCCAAGGACTAAACGAGAAGGAAACGTCGCCTGAAAACGAAGTGGAGAACCTAGAAGAATCGAAGAAAGCGGACATCGAAGAGGATAAAACCAAAGTTCAAAACGGAGGACAAACTATTCCACCAAAACCTTTACCAAGAACATCAAGAACCAATAGCATTTCTGAGGATGAACCGAAACCAGTTGCACGGCCACGTTCTTCGCCGAATCCGGGCTCAGTAGTTACATCCGTGAATCCTAATGCGATTGGGGGATATAAGGTTGTAATCTGGCTATAAAAAGACTTAATAATCTTAAGAAAACAATGTTCTACTTCTGTATGCGTGATGATATTGTGTGCAGCAATTTTCCATTTCGTTTACCTCATTGAAATCATAATGAATCATAGTACGAATAGAAACTTGTTCGTCGTAGAAAATTTTTAATATTTCTCGTGTTTTCAGCCTCGACTTGGACCAAAGCCGTTCCAAGCAAAGTCGGGCAGTCAAGAGTTCTCGTTTGACAAAATCTTCTCAGTTCCTATCGCACCGAACAACGACACGAATGGTTATCAGAACGACATAAACAACCAGATAGAAAATAACGTGGAACCCGAAAAGTCACCATCGTTCAACAACGAGCGCATCAAGGAAACGGAGAATGGGAAAAGTGATTCCAGTTCTTTGGAGGAGGACGCGAATTCCAGTGACTCGGGTTATAAGCCAAAAACGCCGAGCACCGCGGAAAGACGTAAAGTATTCGAGATCAAAGTAAAGGACGAGTCACCTGAGAACGAAGAGCTAGGAGGAAATTTCGAGCGCGGCAATGCCAATAGGAACTCCATCGCCGAGAGACGGCGATTGTACGAGAGTCGTTCCGTCTCTGTGACCGATGGTAATTTAGCGGAGAAAGCAATGGGCTCGCCTACGATGTTGAGACGCAGAGACTCCTTTAAGACGAAGACCGAAGTGATCAAAGAAGATGAAGTAAAGAAAGTCATTCCTATGCTACGTCAGCAGAGCATGGATCCAAGACTGGAGAAAATAGACAACGCGACGCCGACTGCTAAAAGAACGTCGACTGTATTCGGTATGGCACACAGTCTAGAAAAAGTCCATTACTTTTTATAGTTTTACTAAAAATATATATTGGTATGTACAGGTAGAGTATCGAAGTTCAGACATTTGAAGGGAACACCTGGCCACAAGTCTACACATATAGAAAACATAAGGAACATTAGTAGACAGATATCTGGAGAGTGCGATGGCTTCCACGGTAATTGACTCGTCGAGGTTTTCTTCCTTATTTCCAAGTACGTTCTGTTTTGAACAGCCTTCAATCGATTACAGCTAATCCCGACCGCGTCGCTGTACCGTTAAGCGGTCCTGGGGGAAAGATAGCAGTTTTGGAGTTAAAGAAAACCGGGAGGCTGCCCGATGGCGTGATGCCAGCACTAGTGCATGGCACCACTGTAATGGATTTCCAGTGGAATCCATTCGATAATCAACGACTCGCAGTTGGTACGATTATGAGAATACAATTACACGGTTACATTTCATCCTCTGTACATTTAATAATAATTATTTCTTGGCAGCTTGTGACGATGGAATGATTCGACTGTGGGAGATCCCTGAATCTGGCCTATCGGAGCCAACAAATGAACCAAAGCACATGATAAAAGCTCACACCGATAAAATATATTTAATTAAATTTCATCCGCTGGCATTGGACGTTCTAGCATCAGCGTCTTACGACATGACCGTGAAAATTTGGGACTTGTCCTCTCTTCCCTCCAACGACACGGCAGTTGCAAAGATAACATTGACTGGCCATACCGATCAGATTTTCAGTCTAGCGTGGTCACCGTGCGGACAGTACCTGGCCAGCGCGTGCAAAGATGGGAAATTGCGAACTTATAAGCCCAGATCTGGCGATACACCGGTGAAGACTGGGAAAGGACCAGTTGGTACAAGAGGTGCGCGAGTAGTGTGGGCACTGAAGGGACAATTTTTGGTTGTGATGGGTTTCGACAAGTACGTACATTTTAAAGAGAATATACATGTAATATCGCATTGACATTTTAATAATTTGAGATCTCGATGGTTTATTTTAGAGTATCCGAGAGACAGATTTATGTGTTTAAAGCAGACAATCTTAACAATCCATTAACCACGGTTGGGCTGGATGTGTCGCCTGCTATTTTAATGCCATACTACGATGAAGATAGCTCAACCCTTTTCTTAACAGGACGCGTAAGTTTCCTCTGTATTTTGGCCATGACTGACATCCGTAAAATTTCGAGATACGATAAGAATAAATTGTTCGTGAACAATGTTGTTTTAGGGTGATTCTACGATATATGCCTACGAAGTAACAGAAGAAGCTCCCTACTGCTGTCCTCTCAGTCATCATCGATGTAGTAGTTTACATCAAGGATTGTCCTTTCTTCCTAAAAATAAGTGCGATGTTGCTAGCGTGGAGTTCGCATCTGCTTTGAGACTAACAAACAACACGATAGAACCTTTAAGCTTCACTGTACCCCGCATAAAGGTATGTTTGAGACATACTTAAGCTAGAATGCAGAATGGAAAAGTCGCAATAAGTATTCTCTGATTATTTTAGAGTGAACTTTTCCAAGACGATCTGTTCCCGCCCACGAAAGTTACATGGAAACCAACTATGACTGCTAGCGAGTGGTTTAATGGCGCTAACAAACAAGCACATAGAATAAGTCTAAAGCCACCAGGCATGGATAATTGTAAGTTTATTGATATGAGTATAAAAGTGTGTATCTGAGCTGAATTCTTATTAATTTCTAATGTACATGTGTGTATATTTATATAGTAACTGAAAATCAAGGGCAAGGAGTAGTCACTGCACCAGTTGCCGCAAAACATTCAACGTCCACCTTCTCTGTATCTGCACAACCTTTTACCAGACTCGGATGGACTCCTGATGTGAAAGCTAAACAGGAGGAGGTAAATCGACATTCAAACATACTTGACTCTGTCTGCACAAATAAAAATTGTGATATACAGCATGTCACTTTTTGTATAGTCTACAATTATTCTCTTGTTGATTTGGCTATTATTTTTCTATTTATATATCATTTGTGTGATAGATGCAAAAAACCATGAGCCAGTTTGTGGGAGATGTAATACAATGCTCACTGGAACAGGATCATATGGAAGGTGTAGAAGAGCATGAATGGGTAAGTAATATGTCACATGTAACATACCATTTGTTTGGAATCGGATGAGTGATGCATTCTATTGTCTAAAATTGATGTTACACTTTCATCGTCTTAAGAAATCATTTGAATTCCAGGATGAGTGAAGATGGGGCAGTCGTAGGTCATTTAAATAAAAGCGGTAAGATAAAATGAATCTATATGTAGCTGGACAAGCCGTAATTTATTTTTAAGTTAAAAGCCACGACATAAGCAGAAATACTTTGATATTAATGTGCGCGTGGTAAGAGATATTTATAGTTGGAATTGACATTTCCAAAAATTTATCTGTCTGAAAAGAACTAACGGTATGTGTGAACGATTTTTTGAATTGTGGTAATTTCTTATCATAGATACAATTACCCAGATATTATTGTATCAAATTAATTTAAGAAAAAAGGGACTGGATATTAAAAGAAATTGAATTTTACGAATAAAATTTTCTTAACATTTCTCGAAATTTGGAGATGTCTTTGTAAAAAGAAAGATAACATTGCAGTCTTTATTACGAGTAACTTTTCTCAGCTGCCATCTTATGATTCTCTTGATATTAAGAATAATTATATAGGACAACTATCTGTAGGAGCTGTACTAGAGATGTAGAATAACAAATATTCGCAAAAACTATCAGAATTCGACAATAGTTTTTATTATATACTTAAGGGGTGTCATGGTTTTTAAAGTGACTAATCTTGAGATCTGTAGTGCAGCATCAAAAATGATTAAATGGAGACGAATGTATTAAATAATTTGATTTTTTGTTATGGAATGTTTCTCAATTTGTCGTATGACTGCGATCGAAACGTTAAAATGTGAATTCCGTGTTTACCAAAGGGCAGGGAATGACAGTGGTTTAAATGGAACGGTTTAGATTCGAAGATGAATATTTTTTCTATCTAATGTACCATAAACTTTAGTAAACTTTAGTATTTCGCTATCTATATGAGAATAATTTCCCATTTCCATGGTATGTATTGATTATAAAAAAATTTTATATAAATACAGTCTACTCGTACTTATTTAGATAGATCATTCATTAATATGATAAACTTACTCTAATTATCTGTAATTACAGTGTCTCGTAACTGTTAAGAATACGCTCGTGTTCCTACTTGTATGATTGACATCCATTTTGCATGAATGTTCCCTTCGCTTTGGTAAGCAACTTTGTAACGTGTTTGAATCACGCACACACTTTATACCTTTATATATTCCGTCATCATAGTGCAGTCTTCATCATTTTAGTATAAAATTTTGACCCAATGGTGCTATGCCCCTTTAACGAGTCCTAGTACGTAATTGCCAATGAAAGTAAAATCATATATATTTTTCGTGATAAAAGAACACAATTAGTGATGAGACTGAGACGCACGTCCTGCATTCATTATTATTGCATTTATATTTAAGATTGATTCTTTTTTTGGGAAGAATTATATTTCAGACATATGACTTATGTCTATACATATCAATTATACCATGTACCAGTTTAGTTGTAACTCAGAACCCATCAAACTAACATATATTGGTTGATTACAATCGACGATTAGTTCAAACGTTAACATGTTTAATAACGATATTAAAACATAACAAATCTGAGTTTCAATGACTAGTTATAAAATAATTGAATCCTTGAAAATTATGTGATTGTAGTATGAGTTTTGATATTCAGCTCAGACGAATTATGAGTCTCATCGCTAACTAGATGCCTTTTTATTTACGCAATTTATTCAACAAAGTCTAAAGTAACATTCCCTTTTTACATTCTGTCATATTTGTGGGCACAGTAAGTTACAGTAAGTCACAGTAATAGGAAGGAAATATCGAAGAATTTTATTAGTTTAGAGATACGTATTGAATCAACACGAAATTTCCTATACAGCGAGTAGAACACCTCTAAGTGCTGCATTCAAAAAGTTGTGCATATTATCTTGTATACTGATCACAATTTTTTACCATGTTTTATACGCATCATAAATAGAAAGAGGAACAAAGTGAAACTTTGTTATGAAAAAGAAAAAAAAATAGCTGCCATTCACGTCATCTGTCTTATCATACAAATTTATATCTGTAATTATTCGCCATTTACTATAGAACTGAGAAACATCATTGTTCCATGTTTTAGTAACCATGCCTTTTCTTTTTTATAATTACATTATTTTCCGCAGCTTCGTAAATGTCTGTTTGATTGAAAACTAGACACATATAGTATTACTTCAGAATAATATCTTGAAAAGTAATCACAAGTTGCATATGATGTTCGAGTCTCTTTTACTGCTTCTTGAAGTGAACAAGGAAGCAATGGTAAACATAAAGAGAAGGGGGATAAGAGAAAATTGTTTTCAACTTATGGTACTTCTCAATAAGATTATGACACTTTACACTGTAAGTTTTCTTTTTATTGCAACAGTAGATTTATAGTCATTCCCGATATTTGTATGCGATCCTTTATAGCACACAGTTTCAAAATCTCGGTGAAATTAATTTGAATTGCAACAACAAGTTTCTTGGTGTTTAATATTGCGCTATGACTGATCGCTAGTAAGTTTATCATGTAATAACATACCTTTGTATCGACCTTATACCTCTTACATGTATTTCATCTATAAAATCTTTTTATCAAAGATATATACTTGTATATGTAGTATACTTGTATTATTTCATCCTCTTTTCTTTTATATTTACAAATCGGTATAAATTTTTATATAGTTACATAGAAACCAACATATATTATCCATACAATTGTCTAATGAAACTTCAGGAATGTTTTTATTGATATTTGTCAATTGGCAAATAACGTGTTGAATATGACAAAGTAATTGTATTATGAATAGATTAAGAGAAACTATAGATTTTAAAAAATAATTTATAGACGAATGCACAGTTTTAGAAAGAAATGTATTTTATTTCATAAGAACTTCTAATCTATTCTAAATCATCTGCCGTATCCAACACGATCTCTCGGAATTAATCTCAATTCGGATCCATGTTTGAGAAAAACATTTCCTGAAATTAAATTAATTAGACCATTAGTTTTTTCAGTTTTTCACGTCATAATATTTTGTATGCTCACCTGCTGTTTGCTGTGGATTGATACCTATTCCATCATCTGTAATTATAGCAGATGTGGATGGTGACACTTTAAATTCTTCAGCAGCAAATTTTAATACAGCAGTGAAAGGTGTATTATTTGGCACGCTAAGTCTGTAATTGCAAATGTATAGTGTTATTATATATCACTTTCCCTAAGTTACAGAACTTAAAGTCATTATCATTTAAACATGCAGAAGTAGATTTTTTTTATATCTTTTTAATTTTAACAATTTTAAATATACGAGGAGTATGCTATTACCATCCAATATCTTTCTCAACCCTATGCCATATTGTACCATTAGGGTGTGTTTTAACTAATTGCACTCTGTTATATATTATTTCTGAGACTCCACTAGGGCCATTTAATAACCTTTCAACTACTTTGTGAAGATGTTCATATTCAAAATCACAATTTGATGTCCAATGATCATCAACTTGTATCATATGACGTGCAAAGTAAAATATAGCATCAAGAAAATTGATATAAAGTTCCAAATTATTTTCCATTAATACCTGAAGCGATTTCTTATCTACATTAGCAAGAGCTAAGCAAACCTTCACATCATTTTTCACAAGTTTGTTAGACAACTGTTGAATTATCGACTGCTTAATTTTGCTGTTACACGAATTGACAGCAACCTGAATCAATTCTATATAGAAACCATCATCGGACATTTTTCGAATACATTCTGTAACTTCACAATGATTACCATTACTAAGTAATAATTCCCAAGATAAGATCAAAGCTTCATTCTTCATGTCAAAGGTTGACACACCTAGCTTTTGTAACGAGTCTATCACCATGTTAGTACAAATTCCATTAGTTACTGTTCGTTTAAGAAAATCATTTAGTCTGTCATGACCACAATATTGAGTATATAATTTAAAAAGTTCATCTACAATGTCCGTTGAAACATCTACATCTTTTAGACAGACTTCTAACAGTTTATCACAGGCATTTTTAAAGTCTGAGCATTTATGTAAATTTAATCTATTCTTTTCTATCCAATAATTATGTAGATGACTCTCAAGAACACTTTCCTTGCCAATTTCACATGCTTTAGCAATTGTGGATTCGATAAATAAAGCACATTGAAATGTCTTCATAACATTATCATTCTTTAGATCTTTTCTTAGAGCAGAATTCTCCAAGAGTGCAAGGAAAACGTCAAACATTTTCAATATCTCAAGGATATCTAATTCTGACATGATAATATAAAATATACATTGATCCACTTAATCGGTAACAAATTATTAAGTACACAGGCAAGTGAACTTACACTTTAAATGGTAATTTTGGATCAGAAGTAAGAGTTATTTTAAAAGTAACTTTGGACCTGTAACAAATCAATATGTTTATCAGCAACTATCGATGAGCATAACTAAGGAAACTTATAAATAATATCCAAACATATGTTTATTAAAATGGGTGTATAACTTAAATTTATGTGTTATTTCGTATAATATGTAATTGTTTTCTATTATTTTTGAATAGCCTTTATCGCGTAAAATACGTACGCCATACTTTGATTATAATTATTTCCTTAAAAAGTAATTGTCAGTTTGTAATTGAAAAATGTCACTCCAAACAGAAATAACCTCAGTTGTGTCGGACACTTGGCCTTTCCAAGTCGTACCTTGACTACTTAGCCAAAACTATAGAATGCTCTCTTATGGGGTAATACTCTATGATCAGTTCACGGTATTTAATATGCTCAATAAACGTATCAAATAATACAGAACTGCGTCAGTTATGATTAAATATTTTCCAGTACGTTGATGAATTACTCATTGCATTATTCAGAGCCCATATTGTTAATTATTAATTATCAATTGGAGTATTTACAATGGATATTTAACATTTAAAACGCGATGCAGTGGCTAAAAAAATGTATAACACCATCTACAGTAAACAACTGAAGCTACTTACAAATTAGTACTTCCTGTTCGATCCTAGATGGAGCAAGTAGCGCTCGAATTGTCTAGAAGTTTGAACGTTTCGCTACCGATGGCGCTACTAGTCCGAAAAGTGAATTTTCTGGAGTAAATGATTTTTGCCATTAAGTACTTGGACCAGAATTATCCGTGCTTATACTTCTTATCTCAAGCACTGAATGCGAACGATCGTCTCAATGTTCATCAGACTTTTTTCATACGGTGCATCATTAAGATTAAAGTTTTAACTTACGATCTTAGTGTTTTAAGGTCCGTGACTCGGTGAAGTAACGGTTCATTGAAAAATTTTAGAAAATAAATATTCGTTCGGAACCTGTTAATTAGTTTACCGGTATTGACTGTAATCAATTAAGTTAAACTAGTATAATTATTCATTTAAAACAATTACAATTGTATAGTTGAACTTCCGATTGTTTACAACGAAACTGGAAATTTCGATTGGTAGATAAAATGTAGAAAATCTTTTTTAATTGCCTTACAGCGAGGGGACGAATATGAGCATTATCAATCAGTAGCAAACGAAAATCAAACGTATGCCAGTTAAGATGAAATTGAACTTTATCCTTTTTGCAATTAATTGCTTCAGTTCTGTGGAATAACTTTCCTGTGTAAGACATTATTTTTATTATTGTCATTTAGTTGTTTCGAGGATAAGTTTATTTATTTGAAAATCCTGATATTTATAGAATAAAAACGTTCAAGATACTTTATGTCGGTCCGATTATTAATATTTAATTAATATTATTTTGGGAATATTTTGTTAAAGTTTAGAAAAGATGTATTTATATAAGTTGTACACGCGAAAGAAATCGAATGAAATTAGCGAATCTTATTTTATTTCCTCAGATGCTGCTATTAATTGGAAAAAAACAAAGATTGCTCGTGGCCATCTAGTGATGAATTGTTCTGGCATTACTTGAGTAGTGCTTTAGATTCGCCACGTTACGGCTCATCGCTTCGTAAGCGTTGTGATTGTGTCGTTAATGTTGCACTTGTAGTGTGCTGAACTCCATAGAAGTTTTTAAATTGCACCAACATAATGCAATAACTCTTATACGCGTGGAACGCGTCACATTAAGCTATAATACCGAAGACTTTATGTGAAATAATTCTTTTTATGTAGCTTAACAATAAAAAAGGCACGTCACTATAAAGGTTAGATGCTCTTGGAAGAAGTTCTAATCGAAACTCAAATGCAAGTTTGATAAATCAACCACCGCTGAGTTTGCTTACAAGCATTTAGATCGAACGGAAAATGGACAATAGTAAAGTAGACGACGATAATCAGCGTAATATTAATGATGGGGATTGGATTTGCCCTGATTCTCAGTACGTAATTTCCGAAGAACATTTTCTAATGTTTTCCTTTGCGTTTTGCTCGATTGGAATCGAATTTTCTGTGAAATAATATCGCTCACCGTTGACGTATGAAAATAATTCAATGATAAATTATAATGTGACAATGTAACAGTTAAACAGTGTCAGTTATTATTTCAGAAAAAAAAGGATAACTTTTAATATTCAGCTAATGATAAGACATGTAAATTAACCGATAATAAACATTACACTGCACTAATAATATTTCTTGTATCGTACTTTATAATGTATTAGAAATATAAATGTAATATTGCAGGTGTGCTAATGTAAATTTTGCGAGAAGAAACTCTTGTAATCGATGTGGAAAAGGTATATGACATTTGATATGGTAATGTATGGAACAGTTTCTTTAATAATATTGCTTAGAATAACATTGTAATAGTAATTGGCTATTGATTTGATGATTTGATTGCTATTTTGCTAATACTGCAACTCGAGTGATAAGCATTTTTTATTAACGAAAGATATTCTTCTATAGATAGGGGAGAATGCCCTAAGAAAAAAAAGTTGGGGCAGGAAATTGGGAAAGCGGCTGCAGAAAAAAGCAGAGGATTATTTAGGTGAGTGTCACGTATTTACATACAGTATATTTTCACAAAATGTTTACAAAAAGTGTATATAATACAGATTAATAGGCAAGAGTAAATGATTAAAATTCTATATTGTAATTGTCTGGAACAATGTAGCGCGGATGATTGGCAATGCAGCAAATGTGGAAATGTAAACTGGGCTCGCAGACAACAGTGCAATATGTGTAATGCACCAAAGTTTGGAGAAATCGAGGAACGAACAGGATACGGAGGTGGTTATAACGACAGAGGAGTTGTCGAATACAAAGAAAGACGAGACGACGATGATGACTACGACGAGTTTGGGCGTCGTAAAAAAAAACGAAAAACCGAGAACCGTTCAGACGATGATTCCAAAGATTCTAGGTATAGTAGCCCTGTGCGTAATAAATCTAAAACCGAAAACGAAAGAGACGAACATGAGGAACGAAACGAAGAAAACGTAAGATTTCCGGAGGAACGTAAAATTTGAAGATTAAGAATACATCGATAAAGGGAAATATTAATCACCTATATTCACCATAATAGGAAGAAGACGAAGAAGAAGATGACGAAGACGGAGATTTATCGAAATATGATCTGAGCGAATGGGACGATTTTGCATTAAAGAAAAAGTAAATGTTCATAAGATTAATCTATCCGTAGAATTACAGTCTGTATTACACACTGTTAATTTTCAGTACAAACGGGAACACTCCGTCCTCGGAAGAGCGATCAAGGTAATAACGATAAAAGAATAAGCGTGAAAAAAGCGAAAAAAAAGCGAGAAAAAAGCGAAAAAAAAGCGAGAAAAAATCGAGAAAAAATCGAGAATGTCCGTTCAATTCTGAAGAAATTTGCTGGCGTAGTTAATGGCAATTTCTTTATTATTAATTAAACAATTCGAAAAGTATAATGTACTCAATCGCTGCGAAAGTGTTAACAAATGGATTTTATACAGTATGTGTAACGTTTTTACAGAGATAAAGACGACTGGCGCGATTCGGGTACATCCAGTCAATGAGATGCTGCGCAGAAGGAAAGGTTTGACTTGGGTTTCGGGTATAAAATTGATTGTGACAGTGAATTGCAATTACGCTATTGCTTTATAACTCTTCAGAGAGTGTAATCTCTACTACAATCTATTGTAGACCAGTAGATGTTAGATTCTAAAATGGCATAGTCAAAGAGGAAGATACACAGACTTAACAAAACCTGAGGGGATTAAACTAGAATTGCTATTAAGTGAATGATCTTTTTACAGGTGAGAGGAAATCCCACACGGACGAGAATGTCTCGGTGAAACCTAAAGAGATTCATGCGACGCGAGAAATTTAGTAATTTAGTAAGCACCTTTGGATATAAAGTGATGGTGGACAATATTATGACTTATTGCAAAGGGAATCGATTAACGATAAGCTTTACATTTTTGTGATTGAACCTCATAGCTTCGTTGACTCAATGGATGGAAAGTGAAAATGTAGGTTACTTGTTCGCGCAGTATTGTTTTAAAAAATATTGTATCTAGTAATGCGGAGAGTCGTAAAAAGTATTTGGCGCAGGTAGAACGTTTCGGTAGTAAAGAAACAAAAATCAGAAAAAAAATCATATGAAAATTGTAATTCTAATTATAACTCTATGGACGATGTTACGCGACTCGTTGTACAATTCTGCATTATGAATTCGTAGACGAAATCTTATTTCTAATTAATTCGAACGTATCAAGTATTCGTAAATAGCTCTATCATCGCCGCCGCATCGTTAAGACTTCTAATTATGATATCACAAACGCACGACGCTCTGGTAATCACGATTTGCTTTAAGATTGCCTCAAGCTGCTTCGACAAAAATGATTTCTTTTTCCATTTCATTCATAGTTTATTTCTGACTCTCTTTTTCTCTCACTTTTTTTTCCACTTTCACTCACTGTCTCTCTCTCTCTCTCTTTCTCTCCCTCTCTCTCTCTCTCTCACACAGAAAACATACACGCACGCAGTCACTCACATGCACACACTCTTTTTCTCTCGTTCTCTCTTCACGCGTAAAACACTAACAATTAAATAAAACGTAATGTAGTATTAAAAAAAGAATCATTCCCTAATTAATACAGATATGTATTTGATGTCTTCGGAATGAAGAGAAAAAAGATACATGTTCTTGCTTTGACTATCACAGATCCGAGTAAGCTGGAAGCAGCCTGCTTAATTGAAAGATATATAATGACATGATTTTTTCGTTTAACCATGTCAAAGCCTGCGCTTGTGCGC